TAAGAGCTTGATTAGCTGGTTCAGGTGTGTTTAATTGGGGTTGGAACTAAAATATGCAGGACACCGGCCCTCCAGGGCCGAGTTTGGACACCCCTGGTTTAGTGGCTAATTCGTAAAATTTTATACGGTTCATGTCATTAAGAAACAAAAATGGTTTGCATTTGTAATGTTTAATTGAAATCTTAAAAACATACAGTTCCTGTTTGTTTGAGGTATTGTGCGTGGCTAACATAGTCAACCAACTGTCAGTTTTGACATCAAACAGAAATGGTGAGAAGGATGTGTCTGTTAGATTGTAATAACTCTTCTAAAACCCTTTTCCCCATCTTTCTGAATAAAATGCCTACTTTACTTCATCCAATCAACTCGCAGCAAAAAAGGCCACGCCCACTCTTTTCTTCTTTAATATTCTGTTTCTCTAGGAACTGCATCACAATACAGAAAAGAAAAAAAAAAAAAAAAAAAGGAAAAAAAAACGGTCGCAGCTTCTGGTTCATGTGGACTTTAAAGGGTCACAAAACACATTATTTGAGCGGTTGTCAGTCATACATGTGTCCCACGCTGCTAAAAACACCATTAGGACATCTATTTCACAAAAAAGTAAGAAAATTGGTTGTTTTTGCGTTATTTTGAGCAAATTCGTTTTTCCGGTTTGAAACGAATTTTTGAGGCTGCGTCACGGCAATTAGATTATTGCATGTATTCCAGCATGTAGACTGGCTGTCTGTCCCAGTGAATACAATGTGACACATTTGAGTGTGCAGCAGTAATTCGTGAGAAAAACATGGTACAGACCAGTCAGCGCGCTCTATTGTGTATGCGGTGCAATTTCATTAATATGCATGATAGCTTCGAAGACTTGTTTGTATCTGTTACAGTGTTCAGACGGCAGAGTCACCATCTTGTGTTGCCAAAACAAGTGGAAGAAAAAGGATTGTTTGGAGACACGGCAAGTCAGTGTTGTGTTCAAAAATGTGCTGCAACTAATGTTTTGTTTTCAATTTTCTGCCAACCCGACTCCACACCATAACTTTTCAATCCAGATGGATGGGGCAACCATTACTGCATACAAAATGGTGAAAAGCCTTGGAGTAACGATTGATGACCAACTAAACTTCTCTGACCACATTTCTAGAACTGCAAGATCGTGCAGATTCGCACTCTATAATATCAGAAAGATCCGACCCTTCTTATCCGAACATGCAGCTCAACTCCTTGTTCAAGCTCTTGTTCTCTCCAAACTGGATAACTGCAACTCTCTACTAGCTGGGCTTCCAGCTAACTCTATCAAGCCTCTTCAACTGCTCCAGAATGCAGCAGCACGAGTGGTCTTCAATGAACCTAAACGAGCACATGTCACTCCGCTGCTAGTCCGTTTGCACTGGCTGCCAGTTGCTGCTCGCATAAAATTCAAAGTTCTAATGTTTGCCTACAAAGTGACTTCTGGCCTTGCTCCTTCTTATCTGCTCTCACTTCTGCAGATCTATGTGCCCTCCAGAAACTTGCGTTCTGTGAATGAACGTCACCTCGTGGTTCCATCCCAAAGAGGGAAGAAATCACTTTCGCTCACGCTCAATCTTCCCAGTTGGTGGAATGAACTCCCTAACTGCATCAGAACAGCAGAGTCACTCGCTGTTTTCAAGAAATGACTAAAAACAACTATTTAGTCTCCACTTCACTTCCTAATCTGCAATTGCCTCTCTGGATATCACACTAACTGTACCCCAAAAAAAAAAAAAAAAAAATTACTAATACTTTCCTTCTTAGACTTTACAGACCTGAAACTTGCCTTTAGCACTTATTCATTGTTGCTCTTATAGTTATGCAAGTTGCTTCCTTGTCCTCATTTGTAAGTCGCTTTGGATAAAAGCGTCTGCTAAATGACTAAATGTAAATGTAAATTGCCCACTATGAGAGCACAGCTGGACTCAAGTGTAGATTACAGTGCACACGACAAGACAGAAATACGTTTGTAAGGAACACTTTTGTACCCGAGAGCTTTTCGCATCTGGAAATGGTGAAATCTGGATTTGCCACTCGTTTTCTTTTAAAAAAGATGCGGTTCCAGTTGGTGTTGATTGTTCAGTTTCTACAGATTTGCTAAGTCTATGATCGGTTTTCTTTGTTTATCCAGAGGCATATTAGTATTGTCAGTAGAACTCTTTTAGTGTTTAAAGACATACCTCAGTCAAAATGATTTCTAAGTTACTGAGTTTACATCGTGTTAATATCACTACAATATTAAACATGTAAACACCTTAATCAAACTATCACCATTGTTTAAGATTGTTGCCGCATTTTGTGATAGGATAGCTTATACACACACAGCGTTCTGACGCTACCTACAGAGGGCATCTAAGTTACAGAGAAATGCAGAGTTTTTTTCTCTCATACGGCATGTGGTATCAAACACTTCATATACACTCTTCCAGCAGTTCCTTGTATCCAATATCTCATTTGTCACAGGAGGCATGCAGGAAATGTCCCTGAATGAAAGTGAAAGTGCCAAACTTCGGTTAAAGTCCACAAATTAATAATTTGGCAAATAATTGATTACTGATGTCCATTGTCATTGTCACTGTCTTTCTCCCTTGTGTCTGTGTGTTTGTTTTGCCTCTGTGAAAATCTGTGCATGCCCAAACGGAAACTCCCGTTTTTATGCACAACATTTTCTCTTTCCCTCCCCCCAAACTCCCACCTAAACAGAGCTGGACACACCCACTTTGCTGACTTTTTCCAAACTAGAGGTCTGAATACACTCTGCTGAATCAGGGGAGTTTCGTGGCCCTTTAAACATACAAACTGCAATGATACAAATGTGTTTCTTTGGCCCCGTTTACACTAATGCGTTTTAGGGTGTTTTCACACCTACACTTTTGTTTCGGAACGTGTCTCGTTTGCCCAGTTAGCGCGGTGCGTTTGGCATATGTGAACAGGGCAATAGCGCTCTGTTCCACGCCAAAGTAATCGCTCCGAGATCGCTTGAATGAGGTGGTCTCGACTCGATTGAAACGAACCCTGGAGTGGTTCGATTGCAGTGAGAAAGCGATCCGATCCGAGCGCGGTTATATCACAGTGTTTTATGGATATGTAATAGGCTTACGGCTATAAGAAGAGAGAATTATGAGTTTCGTGAGTCTCCGGATGCCCGCAAACAAGTGATGATCTCCCGCTAATCTCGCGTCTCCCTCCTGGTCCTCAAATAGGCATCGTCGTGCACCCTTCTCACCCCTCCCCACCGCATCTCTCCTCAGACACGTCGAGCGCGCGCACCCTGTCAATCACCACCAAACCACCACCTCTCCTGACAGCTTAGCGGGACGCTGCAAAATAAACCCTGACACTCTGACCAATGTAAGGAGAGTTTAATCACACGTGACTTGTTTTAGCTCTTTTGGTCCGATTAGAAACTTTGCAATGTGAAAGTGAACTGCTGAATCGAACTGAACTGAATCGATTCACAGGTGTGAAAGCACCCTTAGTTTCAAAATGCATAAGTTTTGCTACGGTTACGCCATCCGTCCACACTACGCCGGAGTTTTCGAGCACCGAAAACAGAGCATTTTGGAAACGCTGAAAAGGCCGTTTTCATTCTAAAATGCTGCTGCTCCGTCTCAGTGTGGATGGGGGGAAAACGGAGACAACTGAAAACGGAGGCGGGGCTGCCGACATTTGCCTCTCTGATTGGGGCTTTTCCCTCAATATTAAGTAGCCTACACACAGATCTGTCCTGCATTCTCTCCTTGTAAGTTCCGACTTCGCAAGTTTAATATGGAAAACAGACTCCCAAGAAGATTTTGGGTAAATCTTCAAAGGGAACGGTGTACTTTATAACCTTATTCACATCACCCTGGCTACGTTGTTTCACTTTCTTAACTTTAAAATAAAAACATAAGGTAATTGCTATTTACATTTTGATATTAACAACTTAATATACAGCAGAAATGTTGAGGCGTTGTGCTGCATATATGAGCGTCATCTTCACTGTATGCGTATTCATAACAAAACCAAGCCTAACATTACTGCCTCCTTTCTCTTTCATTGAAATTACAAAACATATCCTCTCTTTTGCTGTATATTGGTTTTAATAATCAATAATGGCCATTCTAAAAGTATAACATACAATAAGTTTATACATTATAGGAAATAAAGGCAAGCAATTACTCTATATACAGAATGTACATGGTTAAATTAATTATTAATTTATCTAAACACGTAACCCGAGAACAAGTAATAGACTCAAAAGACCAAAGTCGGGGAATATGTTGTCAGATAGAGACAACACGATGAATTAAATATCATGTTTAGCAAATATAGTGAGATTAGATCCAGCGGGAGATCTTTGACGAACACTCTCATCTGGGTAGATGGGCTGCAGCGCATGCTGAAGAGTGTGTGTGTGGTCACGTGATGTGCGTTTTCAGAATTTTGGTGTAGACCTAGGCTGTTCAGAAACGCTGGGTAAAACGCTAGTGTTGACGCAGATCATTTTCATTCTAAATCGCCATTTTAAAAAACAAAACGCACTAGTGCAAACGGGGCCTTTGTTCTAAGGTATAATTCTGTTCCATAAAAAGGTACTGCCCCAGTGACAAGAGTTGGCACCTTCTTTGGTAAAACATTATACCATTTTTTTCTGAGAGATTATGTGAAAGTAAAATAATGATAATACATTCATTTAGCTCTAAATATCAGGTGAAATTTGGCATGTACTACACATATACTAGTTTTGCTATACAACTTCTTTTTGGATTAAATAACAACTGGAACGCTGTATACAACAGGAAAAATCCCCACTGAGTAATGTGACACGAAAGATTGAATTTTAATAGAATAAAAATCATTCAAGCCTTTCCTGAGAAGTGTATGCTTCACTGTTCAACCTTCACAGGGTGTAGAATACCAGCGCATTGACGAAACTTGCAAAAGCTTTAATCGTGCAACAGATTTGCACCTACAAGAGGGAAAAAGAAAGCAAGTGATTGGTAGATGAAAGGCACCTGGAGACTCTGTTGTTTGGTCCTCCATTTGATCAGCAGGTTTTTGTAGAGCAGGCTCCTCGTCTGATGCCAGACTCCGGCATCTCTTCTGGTTAAGGGCTGCATTCTTCCAGCATGCTTCAGCTGACTGCCACATGGATCAGACACCGCTGCAAAACACATCAAAACCTTCTCAATCCAAACCAGGAGCAGATTTATTTGCTTTAAATCTGTTCTTTTTATATTTATGGTTCCTCACAAATCATTATTTATACTGTTTAGTCAGCAATGCACATGACAGCGTGTCAAAAAAGATGCTGCAAAGCCCAGACTTTCTAATTTGTTTTTCGTTTGACAATTGACCTTACAATACAGCTCATTCAGGATTTTTTTTAAACTTTGTGTTTAACTTAACAATGAAAACAACATTTTTTTTTTTACACAGAAAATACATATTTAGATTTAGCAGCAAAATAAGTGATTTTACATTTATAGCATTACTTAGTGTAATGAGACTAAAGTTTAGCAATCGACTAATATGAAGTAACATGGGTTGTCCTGCATATCAAGCTACAATCATTATTTAAAATGTATTGGAAAAAAATATTTCTATTAAGCAGAAAACACGAAGACTGTGGTGGACTTAAATTAATCTTCCAGTAGGCTACTAGAATAAAATACAAAATGAAATGCCTTAAAATATTTCATATCTTAACATTAACGTTAAATTGGAATATGAAATGCACTAAAACATTTAATATATTCACATTTAACGTTAATATTAAGATAAGACTGAAGTAATTTCACAGTAATGGGTTGCAGCTGGAAAGGCATCCGCTGCGTAAAATGTATGCTGTATAAGTTGGTGGTTCATTCTACTGTGGCGACCCCAGATTAATAAAGAGACTACGCTGAAAAGAAAATGAATAAATTAATTAATGAAGTAATTACCTTTATCACAAATAAACATTGACTGCGTACTAAGTTTCCCAAGACCGTGGAGAGGGTGAGTCCAAAGGTAAGAGAAGATAATAGTGCATAAGATATATGAGCGTGTAAGGTACGGCAGGGAGCTGCTAACATTGAGGTAAAGTTGGCTTTTTAATCACACATTCGGACCTTAAAAACATTAAGAAAAGTATTCTCTGCAATGACTTTGCAGCCAATGACTATCTGAGTAAGTTACAACAACGTTCACAGTCAAATAAATAGTGCTGATGTTGTTTTAAAGTCATCCTTACATATTTTAGACCGAATATTCAAAGAACCATGGCAAACAATATAGGGAGCATGTCACAAGTTGTCACTAAACGAATGTGCGAATATTAAACCAACTTTACCTCAAATGCTGCTAAATACTACGATGTACAGTCAGTCAAACTGCAATTTCTATGCAGAATATATTTATATATTTCTGCGCGTGCAGGAGGTCGCGTGCACCCGACGTGTTGCGCGTGCTCGCAAGCGCGCGCGGTGCAGGTCAATAACGACTGGGTTGGGCTTTCGCCCCTTCCTATTTTCTTAAATGTAGATAACCAATGTGTTCTTCTAGTTAATATACAATATTCGAGCCAAACGTGCAAATTGTCGATGCAAGTGTGAGTTTTGTTCCCTGCTATCATTGTGTAAACACTGACAGCTAACGCTAACTGGCTAACAGCTTTCCCTCATGCCTAAACAAAGAAGCGCACTTACGTATGAAATACATTAAGACATGTCTTTCCTGTCCTCCAGATTTGCGTTGTTGTTTCCAAATAAAAAACCTTTGGGAAATAAATAAAAACAGAAGAGATCCAGGGCGGCGTTGTCAACACTACTTGCGCCTCTGCCATCAGCTGGACCGACCAGTCAGTCAGCCAATCAGTGCAGCCCTACAAGTTACTAGACTCGGGATTCGTCGGTACCGAGGGAGCCAATCCCGAGACTCAGAACTTGTAAGACTGCGCGGATTGGTCTTTTAGTTTGTGATTGACGTCATCACAACACATCTGGCGGCAGCTGCTATGAACTGTACTGTGTACGTAGTATGTATGTATGTATGTATGTATGTATGTATGTATGTATGTATGTATGTATGTATGTATGTATTAAATATTAAAGCGGGTTATATTGTGCAAATAATATTACAAGGGTTTGAATGAATAATCTAAAATGTGATGTATATAAATGTATAAAAACATTTCAATTGAAATATAAAATATACAATTATGGTAATAAAATATGTAAATTAATATGTAAATAACAATATTTAGCACTGTAATGAATAAGTAACATAATAGCTTAAAATAATATTTATAAAAGAATGTTGTATTGCAAACAATTCAAAATGAATATTTTGTGTACACCTGTCCAACTGCTCATTATCGCATATTTCCAATCAGCCAATCACATGGCAGGAACTCAATGCATTTAGGCATGTAGACATGGTCAAGACGATCTGCTGCAGTTCAAACTGAGCATCAGAATGGGGAAGAAAGGTGATTTAAGAGACTTTGAATGTGGCATGGTTGTTGGTGCCAGACGGGCTGGTCTGAGTATTTCAGAAACTGCTGATCTACTGGGATTTTCACACACAACCATCTCTAGGGATTACAGAGAATGGTCAGAAAAAGAGAAAAAATCCAGTGGGCGGCAGTTCTGTGGGCGTTGATGCCAGAGGTCAGAGGAGAATAACCAGACTAGTTGAAGCTGATAGAAAGGCAACAGCAACTCAAATAACCACTCGCTACAACCGAGTTCTGCAGAAGAGCATCTCTGAATGCACAACACGACCACATTGAGAAGGATGGGCAGGGCCAGAGCAAGCTTAACTGGCGCTCTAGGCAAACAACGATCATACCGCCCTCAACCCAAAAGATGATGCCCTCAACCCAAAAGATCAACCCGAAGATGGTTCATGTAAAGTGACCGGTTCACGTAGTGAAGACTGGGGGGCAGCGGTCGTGAATGAGGGTGAGGAATGGCCACCTTAATAGACGCGCCAGCCCTGAGGATGAACTACCGCAGCAGACGACCACACCGGGTGCCACTGCTGTCAGCTAAGAACAGGAAACCGAGGCTACAATTTGCACTTGATCACCAAAGTTGGACATTAGAAGATTGGAAAAAACTTTGCCTGGTCTGATGAGTCTTAATTTCTGCTGCCATTCAGATGGTAGGGTCAGAATTTGGCATCCACAACATGAAAGCATGGATCCATCCTGCCTTGTATCAACGGTTCAGGTTGGTGGTGGTGGTGTAATGGAATGGGGATATTTTCTTGGCACACTTTGGGAGCATTAGTACCAATTGAGCACTGCATCAACATCACAGCCTACCCAAGTATTGTTGCTGACCATGTCCATCCCTTTATGACCACAGTGTACCCATCTTCTGATGGCTACTTCCAGCAGGATAACACACCATGTCATAAAGCGTAAATCATCTCAGGCTAGTTTCTTGAACATGACAATGAGTTCACTGTACTCAAATGGCCTCCACAGTCACCAGAGCTCAATCCAATAGAGCACATTTGGCATGTGGTGGAATGGGATATTCGCATTATGAATGTGCTGCCGATAAATCTGCAGCAACTACGTGAAGCTATCATGTCAATATGGGCCAAAATCTCAGAGGAATATTTCCAGTATCTTACTGAATCTATGTCACGAAGGATGAAGGCAGTTCTGAAGGCAAAAGCGGTTCCAACCCGGTACTACTAAGGTGTACCTAATAAAGTGGCCGTTGAGTAAATATGCTTTTACTGTACATTGTAGGGATTTTTCCAGTGTCGCTTAGTCAGTGGAACGGTGAAACCGGTTTACACTGTTATATTGACATGTAGTTATGATTTCCACTGAATGCCAAAATAGTAAAATACCGTATACACTGCAGTATGCAGATAGAAAAGGAATGCAGTCAGGTATGTGTTTCAAGTATGTATTACGATACCTGATTTACCTAGAAATACAGTCCATTATATAATCAACACACTGACATGTCCAATGAACAGACTACCACAAGTTTGTCAATCAAATTTATTTGGTTACAAAACAAGGTATAAAATTAAGAGTAGAAAAAGTGTCTATGCATGTATAATTATGAAAAACAAAACAAAAATACAGTCTTTTCAAAGAAAAGGCAGCCATATATATATATATTTATAATTTTTTTCTTCCTTTTCTGATTAAAACATTCCACTGAGGATATGGACTAATATGCCCCCTTCTGTCTGGTACTAATAACTAACACAAACCCAAAAGGATTTTTAGAGAAAACAGCTACGCTGAAACCTGCATGACAGTGAAGGCAAATTTACATTGATTATTATCACCAGTAAACACAAAATGACATCAGTAAATGAAACGGTCACAGAAGCCAGACATTTGAATCATAAGCAATGTGACAGTACATTCATTTGTGCAAGGCCTGAGGGAGCAACCCTTTCACAACCACAGAAGCTGTGAAGTATATATTGCTCCCTGGGGAACGTCAGGGGTATATTCGCATAAACAAGCATCACCACATCAGTTCTGCGCATTTAAATATGCTTTTTGGGAACTGCTTAATGAATTTCAGTTGTCACTTTAAGGCCTGATAGAAATATTCAACCATCTGGAAAGGCAACCGAGACAGGTTTCATCCCTTGTTACATTGGCTCGGCTTTAAAAGAGTGTTTTTGCATGCCATTGCGTGAACTTTTCACGAGAAGTCAAGGCCATTGAATTCATGGCAAGCTATTTTTTGCCACTTAAAGAAGCCAATGGACCACAAAATTAAAAGCAGACATATCATGTCCACTGTGTTTAGAGAATAGGTGCATTTTAGCATCAAAAATAGTCTTTGATACATTCAGAAACATTTTATTCATGTTTCTCTGTCGTTCATTTCATGGTACAGTCCTTCTGTTTGGACAAAAAAAGAAGAAACCTTCCACTTGGTCTCTTCATCTTTTAAAGTGCCCCCATTATGCTGTTTTCTGATATATGTAGTGTGTGATATAGCTTATTATAAAGATAAAACATCAGCAAATTTACAAAGTATACTATAAATTAATGTATTGTCTCCCAGAACACAGATTCTGAACTGCCTGAAAGTTCTAGATGTTGTTTCAGTCTATAACCATGAATAAATCTGCATATTCTAATCAATGCTTTCCATAGCTACCATTAACTGTTTACAAGTGCTCACATAGGAAACCTCAGCACATAGTAATGGGCGTCTGATTCATAACATACACTGTAAATCGACCAATCAAAATAAACTGGGTTATCTAACCAATCAGAGCAGAGTAGACTCTAAGATGGGCGGGGCTGAGATAGACTGGATCCTTGAACCAGCCCTTTCAAATACTTAGAAAAGAGACACATCTGTAATCGTTGATGGATGTAAACCTGGGAGACCTCCAAAACAAAATTAGGAAGAAGCATAATAGGGGCACCTTACTGGGGTATAGTGCTGAAGCTGGGGTTAAGACAGACCATGAATTATGGCCCTCTTCAGGGTTTGTGGATGTTCTGGCCTTTTGTTCCTGTGGTTGTGACGGACATAGTAGATTCTGAACTGCATGAATTTTCTGGCTGTTATTCCAGTATTAAATTAAAGCGTAAATTTGCATAATTTTTTCATTGCAGATTCCATAGCTACCATTAACTATTTACAAGTGCTAAAGAAACCTTAGCACATAGTAATGGGCGTCTGATTTATGACATGCTCTCACTCTCTTAGTGGTCAACCAATCAAAATAAACTGGGTTAACCAATCAGACCAGAGTAGACTCTAAGAGGGGCGGGGATTAGAGAGACTGGATCCTTGAACCGGCCATATCATACACTCAGAAATTAAATAAATCTGTAATCATTGATGGATGTAAACCTGGGAGACCTCCAAAACAAAAATAGGAAGGAGCATAATAGGGGCACTTTGATGGGGTATACTGCTGAAGCTGGGGTTAAGACAGACAGTCCCTGCTCAAGCCAGGGATTATGGCCTTCTTCAGTGTTTCTGTGTGTGCTGGCCTCCTATCCCTGTGGTTGTGACGGACATAGCAGATTCTGAACTGCATGAATTTTCTGGCTGTTATTCCAGTATTGAATTCATGCATAAATCTGCATAATTTATTCAATGCTTTCCATAGCTACCATTAACTGTTTACAAGTGCTAAGGAAACCTTAGCATGTAGTAATGGGCGTCTGATTTATGACATGCTCTCACTCTCTTAGTGGTCGACCAATCAAAATAAGCTGGGTTAACCAATCAGAGCAGAGTAGAGTAGACTCTAAGATGGGCGGGGCTTAGAGAGACTGGATCCTTGAACCAGCCATTTTATATACTTAGAAACTAAATAAATCTGCCTTTGTTGATGGATGTAAACCTGGGAGACCTCCAAAACAAAATTAGGAAGAAGCATAATAGGGGCACTTTGACGGGTATAGTGCTGATGCTGGGGTTAAGACAGATATGCTCAGGCCAGGGATTATGGCCCTCTTCAGTGTTTGCGGGTACGCTGGCCTCCTGTTCCTGTGGTTGTGACGTACAACAAGGGCTGAAGTTGCCTGGTTTGGGGACCACGCTTGATGAGGTGGGACGGCGGGTTGGAGGAAGTGACATCTGCTGTCGATCCTGTGGAGAATGAATGAAGTTAATTGCATATTTAAAAAATAAAAAAATCCCAAATTATGTTTAACACAAGGAATTTTTCACAGTATTTCCAGTAATATATATATATATATATATATATATATATATATATATATATATATATATATATATATATATATAAATATATATATATTTTTTTTATGGAGGACGTTTTATTTATTATTTCGGCTAGAATAAAAGCAGTTTTTAATTTTTTAAAATCATTTTGAGGTCAATATTATTAGCCCCCTTAAGCAATATTTGTTTTTGATTGACTACAGAACAAACCATCATTATACAAGTGTTTGCCTTATTACAACTAACTTGCCTAGTTAACCTAATTAACCTAGTTAAGCCTTTAAATTGCACTCTAAGCTGAATAATATTGTCTTGAAAAATATCTAGTAAAATATTATTTACTGTCATCATGACAAAAGATAAAATAAATCAGTTATTAGAAATTAGTTATTAAAACTCTTATGTTTAGAAATCTAAAAATGCTTAAATCTTCTCTCCGTTATGCAGAAATTGGGGGAAAATATACAGAGGGGCTAATAATTCATGAGGGCTAATAATTCTGACTTCAACTGTATGTTTTGCCTGTTCGTTTGTCAAATGTCAAGTACATTTTTGGGACTGAAAACACGTCAAATAAAATGCATAAAAACACATGTTTAGCATGTATAACTAGTGCATAAAATAAAATGTAAACAAAATCCATCAATGAAAACAAATCGGAAGAAATTTCATAATAGGTTTAATAAAGATATAAAACTTAAAAGTGTTGCATTTGGTCAGGTTGTGAATGAATTTTTCTGCTTTTCTACCTGTTTGGTGGATGTTGTGAGAAGGTCGAGCTTTTGTAAGCTGAGCTTGTGCTCTGTGCTGGGGCCGCAGGAGTGGGGCCGGGGGATGACCATTAATGTGAAGATGGGGATCAGAAGTGCTGTCCAGGGGACGAAATCTCTGGTTGGTGTTCTTCGCCTGAGACAACTGTATGGTGGAGAAAAAATATAAGTTTGCTAAAAATACTTTGAGTTAAAGTAAATAAATAAAAATATGTGCAAGGGTGATCATATTTCACTCTTTAATCAAAGGCAAGAAAGCTATTTTTAGGATCATTTAACGTTTTTGAATTATAACATTTACATGCATTTTTTTCTCTTTTACTGGCATCTCTATAAAGTAAAAATGAAATCACATTTTATTTAAACTTATTATTTTTGTACAAAATTGTCCAAAAGTTTGGTGTGGCCTTGTTTTTTGTTTTTGTTTTTTATTATTACAAATTAATATTGTATTCACAGTGCATTAAACAAATCAAAAGCAACATTAAAACTCTACAGTATCATGTCACATGAAATTATTTTATTTATCATGCGATACAACAGTTTTTTGCCAACATTGCATATTAGAATGATTTCTGAACATCACAATAATTCACAATACTGCTGTTTTGCTGTATTTTTAATCAAACAAATTCTTAAAAACCCTTTCTAAATCTTAGAAGAAAAACAAAATTGTAATTGAACACTTTTATTTTACTCTACATTTTACAATCGTTTGTGTTTATGATTTAAAAGAATTTGAACACGTTTTAAAGTAAAGCATTTAGACACGTTTTTAAGTAAACCTATTATGCCCCTTTTTACAGAAGTCTCTGATGTCCCTAAATAATGTAAATGAAGTTTCTGACTTTAAAATACCAAACAAATACTGTTTTATAACCAAGGAGTGAACTACAGGGGAGCTCGGCTCCCCTAAGGAAGGCATAAGCTCCCCTGAAAACATGATTTGTGAAATTTTGCAGGGTCTGAAAAAATATTGACAAGTGTGTTACTTTGACGTGTGGTTTCAGTATTGTGCACTTGACTAAACGGAACCCCTTTCAACCCCTTTCATTTTCGAATTTGCGATAATGTTTTACTGGAGTGATCCTGTGTGTTTTATAGCCTACATTGTTGTGGCAAGGGACTCTCAAGATCAAATCGACATCCCCTCCCCGTGGAAAAAAGTGGGTTCCCCCAAATATAGGAACGGTATAGTATACGAACACTGTTTAGAACGCTTTAAAACTCCCCTTTTAGACTCTGATACCAACTGTGCTGTTTTGGTGAATGACGCTCTAAATTCAAATGAGATTGTGCTCTTTTCAAAAGAGCACTGTTCATAAACATTTTACTACTAAAATTCCATGACTTTTCCAAGACTTTAAAGTCAATTTTACTGACCCAATGTTTCATATGATGTCTACATATACATGGTAAATAAGAAAAACAATGCATATTCAAATTTTTTAACATGCAATGATCATTCATTTATTTAGTAATTTAGTCATTCAATCTTTAGACGTATTCCCTTATTTATCAGGGTTCCACAGTGGAATGAACCACCAGCTGCTTAGTTTAAATGTATATTTATGTAAAGTTGATTTTGATAATGCTTACACGACACTAATATTGTGCGACCATGGGATTGGCCAAGAACAGAGAAGACAACTATCCTATATTCAAATTAACAGATAGTTGTTAAACGAATTTCCACGACTTTTCCAAATCTTTGTGAGTTTTACTGTTTTCCAGGCCTGGAAACTGTCATGTCAAAATTCCATGACCTTTCCAGGTTTTCCATGACCGTATGAACCCTAAAAGAGAGTGGAGCTACAAATGCCTATGTGTCAGCATAGTGGCAGAGTCAAAACAAGACTAAGGTTATATTCTAATGAGGAAGAGATCATCATTATGTTCACACACTGCTGTTACACAACTGTGTTTAAACCTCTTAGATAAGAAATTTTAGATAATAGGTCTCCTTTAATGTCACTAAACAATTTCTTAACTTCTTCTTTTATTTACTTTAAGGATGAAACAAGCCGCTGCAAGATTTTTCACTCATAATTTAACACAAATATCTAAATGATCGATCATCTTTATCTGAAAACTCACTGCTTGTCCTGTAACTTCGAATGATCGAGACCTCCTCTTGCGTCTGCGACCCTCAAAGTCCTGCTCCCTCGGGCCGGCGTTCCTGACAGCCTGTCGGTTCCGTGGGCGTGTCCATGTACCATTGGGTGCGGGACCGTCACCTGTGCTGCTGGAGAGGTTGTCATCTGAGGTGGCATGGCGTAGCTCTGGGCTGGGTTGTCTCCCGCGCCGCAGCACCGGGCCTTTAGGGGGCGCCTCACTCAGAGACAGGTTACTCTTGTGCTTCTTGGGGTCCAAGGGTGATGGTGGCGGAGGCAACCGGAGAGCGTCTATTTCTAGAACTTTAGAGCGGCGGCGAGCAGCCTTTACTGCAATGTTCTGCACTCCTCTTAAAATCTGCTGTCGCTCTGGAAGGAAGCAGGGTTCGAGATTTTAAAAGCGTGACTAAACAAATGGACTAATGTTGGGAAAAGATTAGAAAGAAATAAAAGTTTGTTTTGACAGTTTATTGTGTATGTGCAATACACACACATACATAGAAACAAAACTATACAATGCAAATTTGTTACATAGATATTCATTCATTCATTCATTCATTTTCATTTCGACTTAGTCCCTTTATTATTCCGGGGTCGCCACAGCGGAATGAACCTCCAACTTATCCGGCACGTTATTAAGCAGCGGATGCCCTTCCAGCCGCAACCCATCTCTGGGAAACATCCAAACACACTCATTCACACTCATACACAACAGACAATTTAGCCTACCCAATTCACCTGTAATGCATGTCTTTTGACTGTGGGGGAAATCAGAGCAGCCGGATGAAGCCCACGCGAATGCAGGGAGAATATGCATGGATTTCCTCTGGGTGCTCCGGTTTTTCTGACAGTCCAAAGACATGCGGTACAGGTGAATTGGGTAGACTAAATTGTCCGTATTGTATCAATGTGAATGACTGTGTGTGGATGTTTCCCTGAGGTTGCGGCTTGAAGGGCATCCGGTGTGTAAAAACGTGCTGGATAAGTTGGGGGTTCATTCCGCTGTGGCGACCACAGATTAATAAAGGAACTGAGCCGAAAGAAAAAAAATGAATGAATGAATGAATATGACTCTCGGATTGGTGGTATTTTAGATGCAGCATCATGGGTAATGCAGTTCTTTAGCAAAAATGTCCACCAATATTAAATTCTTTCTCAACTCTATATATCGTGCAACAAGAATAGGTGGAGCTAAATATATTTTGGCTTTGTTTGACAAATTTGAAAATTTCCTGTAAAGCATCATGGGTAATGTTGTTCTTCTGCAAAAGGACCATTAATATTAAATTCTTCTCAACGTTATATAGTGTGACAATAATAGGCGGAGCTAAATATTTATTTTGACTATATTTGACTCTATGATTGGATCATTGTCTGTACAGCAGCAAGAAGTCCTATATTAAACACACTTGTTCTAAATATAAGTTAAGTTAATGTGAACAGATCAACAAAAGCCTATATAATCAATCAAAATCCTTTGAGTGAACAAAAGGTTTGTCTTTAAATGTTTAAAATTTGTTTTTTAAAAACCCTCATGTATACCAATGGACAAAATCTTTTTATTTTGGTAACCTCAACTACTGCACTCTATAGAGTTCATCTGTGAATTACCTACTCTTAAATGTCAACTTCTCAAGAAAAGAAGATTAAGTTATCTTTAAAAAAAATCAAGCTCCCAATTTAGAACAGAGTTTTTGCAAAACACAACAGCCCGCATAAGGCCTTGATTGACAGATGAGAATGAAGTCCTCCAGAGAGCCGTGTGTGTGTGGAGCTCTTACCTTTAGGTGTGAGCGGGGCGTCAGTGCCGTTCTCACTGCTCTCAGGTGAGGAGTCCAGATGGCTGCTCATACTGTGACTGAGATGACTGCATCTCAGAGCCTCATCCAGGACAGATGGCAACAGCTGCAGAGTTACAGCAGCACAGTGTCAGACCCGCTTATTTATTCAGTATGCTCAGTTAAAAAACACTGCAGTACTGAGAAACCTATTCAGATGGAGACCAAACAGAATGTTCACACTTTTCCGGAATATTTTGACTAGGATTTATTCTGTGTGAAAATTACCATTGTAAATTAAGGTTTGGGGTGGATGATGTTTTTAAAGATGTTTTCTTATTATTTGCCTAGGTTGCATTTATTAAATCAAAAACTCTGCAAAAACAACATTATGGAATATTACTTACAGTGTAAAATAACTGTTTTGTATTTTTAACATCTTTTGAAAAGTATTTTACTTGTGTGATCACAAAAAGTTGGTATTAATTATTTTATATAACATAAAAATTATCAATGTTGAAAACAGTTGTGCTGTTTTATATTAGTTTTATCAATAAAAGTTTCAAAAGAACAAGATTTATACAACTTTGAATTAATGATGGCTGTTCTGTCATATTTGATCAACTGTTTAAATCATAAAGACAATAATAAGTTACTGAACCCAAACTAATAAGCAATTGTTTTTAGTTTAATGCATCGTTGCTGAATAAAAATATCAAATTTGAAAAAAAAAGAATGAATGAACGAAAAATAAATAAACAATTAAATAAATAAGTTGATAAATAAAATAAAAAATTAATAAATGGATAAATGGATGGATGGATGGATAAATAAATAACAAATAAATATAAATAAAATAAATAAATAAATAAAATAAAATAAATAAATAAATGAATGGATAAATACCTAAAATAAATAGAGGGATGGATGGATGAATAAATAACAAATAAATACATAAATAAATGAATGAATAAATAAATGGATAGATGGATGGATAAATAAATAAATAATAAAAATAGATAAATAAATAAATGGATGAATAAATACCTAAAAATAAATAAATAAATAAATAAATAAATGGATGGATAAATAACAAAAAAAATAAAATAAAACAAAATAAAATAAATATACAAACAAAAAAAAAAGTAAAATCCAAGGATCACCTTATATATTATTTTACATTTACATTTACATTTAGTCATTTAGCAGACGCTTTTATCCAAAGCGACTTACAAATGAGGACAAGGAAGCAATTTACACAACTAAGAGCAACAATGAATAAGTGCTATAGGCAAGTTTCAGGTCTGTAAAGTCTAAGAAGGAAAGTATTAGTAGTACTATTAGTTTTTTTTTTTTTTTTGGGTACAGTTAGTGTGATATTCAGAGAGGCAATTGCAGACTATTGAGAGCGATTTGAGGGTAATATGTTCATTCAAACATTCAAATGTTATAAATAATGTTAAAGCTTTTCTGCTTTATTTCTATGATTTCTTTTAATTACTATTTATGTTTTCATTTTTTGGAGAAAGAAAAGTTTAAAAGAACTTGAAACAGAATTTGAAATATGAATCTGAAACATTTAAATGTATTTACTGTAATTTTTGAAGAGCTAAATAAAAAAAAATAAAAATAATAATAAATTAAATTAAATTAAATTAAATTAAATTAAATTAAATTAAATTAAATTAAATTAAATTAAATTAAATTAAATCTTACTGACACTGACTCACTGAAGTTTTAGCATGGTAATCTGTAAGTGTGAGTATCTCACCTCTCTGTTGCCCTGGCCGTTGATGTGAATGGGTGGAGGAGTCATCACTACAGTGTTCTTCATCTGTTTGTGACTGCTCTTAAACACTCGCTCTCTGTGTGCAGTTGTGAAAGCAGATTGGTTCAAGTTCACATTGACAAAAATTTAAATATTTCTGACCATTACATGTTTCCATACAGGAAAATCTACCTCACATAGAAATCTGATATATGGCAATATACTGTATGCAAATGACATATGTGACATGGAAGTTCATGTTTGGATATATAAAAATGTGTCATAAATGCAATATATATTTCACAATATTGCAAAAATGCAGACTTTTTTCAATTAGATTTTCAATTAGATGTGTTCATATTTGGCCAAATTTCCTCCGGCTGCTCCGGTTTCCCCCACATTGTAAATACATGAGCTATAGGTGAATTAAATAAACTAAACTGGTTGTAGTGTATGTGTGTGAATACGAGAGTTTATGGGTGTTTCCCAGTGCTGGGTTGCAGCAGAAAGGGCATCCACTGTGTAAACATATGCTGATAAGTTAGCGGTTCATTCCGCTGTGGCGACCCCTGATAAATTAAGGAACTAAGCCGAAGTAAAATGAATGAAAGAATTTATGTTGCATATATGACATGTTGTACTGTATATGTAAAATCTAAATATATACTTGTATGTCATATATGTAATTTGCATATATTTCTTGGCATCAGATTTCTAGTTGGGGACATGTCAGTACAAAATGACAAACGTAAATATAAAAATGTTTAGCTGTAGTTACCCATCAGGCTCTGGGAGGATGGGAGGCAGCGTGTGTCTCCTCAGTTTGGTCCGGCCTTGTCTGTTGTCTGAGGCCAGTGTGCGAACGCTCTCCTGGTCTGAATCCAGCTCCTGCAAAGGGTCGCGACCTCTACTGGGGAGGGTGATTTTGGGCAGAGAACCCTCCTAGAGAGAAATACGTGTCAGAAAATTGATGAATATATGTTTATACTGTATATGATTGCTTCATGTACGGTAGTAGCTTTTACAGTCAATATACAGTCAAAATTATGTTTTTATTTATTTTAAACATTTCTTAAATTATGTTAATTCATTTTTCACAGTATTTCCTATAATGGTTTTTCTTCCAGGAGAAAGTTTTATTTGTTTTATTTCAGCTAGAATAAAAGCATGTTTTTTTTCTTAAGGTCAATATTATTAGCCCCCTTAATCAATTATTGTTATTTTTTTCAGATCTTCTATAGAACAAACCATCGTTATTCAACTGCCTAATTACCCTCTCTTGCCTATTTAACCTAAATGTCACTTTAAACTGAATACTAGTATCTTGAAAAGTATCTGACTTCAACAGTCATACATTGATGTTTTTCCAAAGCACAATTAGGTTTAACATTAAGTAAAACAGACAATTGTGTTGTCATGTTGCCTTTCGATGTGTTTATCATCATTATGTTGTACTTACATGATGTACCTTGAGGGTACGGATGGTAAACTTATCAAGAGCCACAACTCTGTCCAAGTTCTTCTCATCCATTTCCTTCATGTACATCTCATAGAGCTCTTGAAGATGAGGAGGAACCAGGAGACTGTGATCTGAAGAGAGAAAAAAAGAAGAAGCATGGTTTAGGAGGGTTTCTGTACAGTGGGAAGAAAACTATTTTCTGATTAAACAGTGTTTTGCAGAACAAATTGTAGCTCTGTCTTTGAATGCATAAAAAATGAGCCTCAACCAATGCTGAAAATGATGTCAGATGCCCTTTTACTTGCACATAACATAACATTAAAGGCTTCAACAACTAATAAAAAGAGTCCAACCTAGCAAATTAAATTGGACTTGTATAGTAATCAACACTTTTTTTTTTTTTGTAGAAACACAAAAAAAATCCCAATCTTAAACATATTTAATATAACTTCTAACAATAACTGAATTGACAGTTAACATTTAAACACATAAATGATACAAAAAATAATACTTATAAAATAAATTATATAAATATTAAATATAAATAACAATATAGTACACATTAGGGGTTTAGGTATTTTGAGTTAATATATAAACTAAAGGAGAAAAAACTTTTTTTCTCATTATAATTTCTCTTATTACATTCTCTCAATCCGTGCAACAAAGTGTACATATAGATGATTAACCTGTTTGTAAACATTTAAGATGCGCACGCAACGAGATGGCAGAAAAAAACCAGGAGCGCTAGCATTTACAGCGAAGGAATGACATCCGATGCTGTACAGAGTTTGTTGTTGTCTTAAAGATAAGTTATATTGATTACATATTATATATATTATTTACATAATGCTTTCAGCATATTATAACAGCTTGTCACCCAGTGATAAGCACAGTGATTTGGCAAAATTTTGACAGGTCGATGAATGCACCCTATGAAAGCACCCTCCCAATGGAGATTGGATAAAGCCAAAAGGCTAAGCATCCAGCCCGTTATATACAACTCATATATACATCTCATTCAAACTCCAAATGATTTTATAAGAGAGAAGTTAAAGGCCTACAAGTCATTGGATGCCAACAATGTTGTTCTGTGTGTTCATGTGCCAGAAATATTGTTCCATGATTACCAGACTCAAAACTGCAGTGCTAAAAACCGAGGTTCCGCCAAGCCAAAGACAAGGAAAGGAGACGGAACTGTATAAAGCCTGGGTAATCATCAACAAGCAAAACAACTGCATTCTGACAGTGAATTACACCTGTACAGCAGGGTATGTGAACTTACATTTTTACATTTCATTCTAAGCATTCAATGTCCACAGTTGAATTAACTACATGAAATCAATGCTGCAATCAAAAACAAGAAATGTGTATGATTAAGCATAGTGTGAACTTCCCTCATATGAAATGAGAACTGCAGAGTCGAGCATTTTTAATTAGGTCCTCACTCGATTCAGCTCATATGATGGCTGTTAGCCAAAGACGTCTGCAGTTGACATTAAAAGCAGTGTGGTGTACGGTAAAATTTTAATTTTCTGTTTTTGGACTCGCGAATTTGGTATCCCACAGCACAACACGACATGTTTGCTATTGCAACAAGTCTTTTTTTTTTTTGCAACTGGTATACGTGGTTGAACCCGTGTGACGCCATGTGTGACGTAGGTTGGTAATTCTTCTATACAGATCAAAGCGTCCTGGGATTCTAAATATCTCACGTTCATAGCTTGCAAGGCAGTTCTAGCGATTCATCAGCACTCAAATATTAAGAAAGCTAGTATTTAGAATTACCTGATGAATGAATGAGTGAATTTGAAATAATAATTATTATTTTATTTAAAGTTGCAACCATAATACATATTTAATTCTAGAATGTATTAATTACAATAACACCTAGTACAGTTTCAAGAATTCATTTTCCTTTGGCTTAGTCCGTTTATTTATCAGGGGTCGCCACAGCAAAATCCAACATAAGTTTTACAAAGCAGATGCCCTTTCAGCTGCAACCCAGTACTGGGAGACACCCATACACTCTCACACACATACACTATTACGGACAATTTAGCTTATTCAATTCGCCTATATTACATCTCTTTGGACTGTGGGGGAAACCAGAGCACCTAGAAGAAACCCATGCGAAAACGGGGCATTTACATACATAAATGCCGACTGGCCCAGCTGAGACTCCAACCAGTGACCTTCTTGCTGTGAGGCGACTAACAACTGAGCCATCGTGGTCCTTAAATTTTAAATAATTAAAATGTAAAAATAATAATATTATGAACAGAAAACTTTTTTGTTTCTGCTTGGTTCAAAACCCGCTCCATTGCACCATCTGGTGCACTTTCTCTAGCTGATATTTCTGTGTGTGTGTGTGTGTGTGTGTGTGTGTGTGTGTGTGTGTGTGTGTGTGTGTGTGTGTGTGTGTGTGTGTGTGTGTGTGTGTGAGTAGGGTTTTCTGTTTTTATTCTTGGGAATGACTCACCATCGATAAACTGCCTCTGCTGCTGGATGATCTCATGGCAGAGGTGCCTGTGCTGCTCGAAACGCTGCACCACCACGTTCTTCTGCCGGATCACGTTGTCTTTGAGCAGCGCGCTGGACTGCATCTCTGCATTCTCGATCTCCAGCTCATGAACTTTACACAGCAGACAGAGCACTTCTCTCTGCTCCTCTGAGCTCACGCGGCGAGGCAGAAGCTCTTCCAGACGTCGTGCTTTTTCTCTCAGCTCTGCCAGACGCTGCTCCAGTCCAGCCTGACGAGAACAGAGGAGACGATGAGTTCATTACTGTGAGCAGGGACTTTATTAACACCGCCAGTCACATTCAATTTATCCCCACTAAGGAGAAGCTTCAGTCCACAGAGAAGGAAGGTAAACTAAAACTTAAATAATAAAACATACACAGAAAAAAAGTGTGCGTGAGTGTGTGTATGTGTATTTATATATGTGTGTATATATCAGTTCTGTCTGGATCTCAAATCTGATTGGCTGATAGCCATGATATATTTAAGTAATATCAGCATCTGTACAGCCTGTTTACCCTTTGTGTTTTACTCTGCCCACATACAGCCAGCTACAAGCAGACACTACAGTTTGACAAATATTACTGCGGTTAGACAACAAAATATATTTTTGAGGCTTTTTTAGTCAAGAATGTAGTTGTCTAGATTGCAACTCTGCAGTTTATTTGCAATAATAGTGCCTATTTTAAGATATTTGCAATTTCTGAGAAACAGGTCGTCGGCGACTGTTAACGTTTTCTATCCACAAGATGGCGACAAAACCACATAATAAGCCCTTACACTTAGAAGATATAACTGTCTGATTTCTAACTATAGCAAATCAAATCATTATTAAACTGGTAAGCAATATCTGCCAACACTTCCATTTTCCATGGGACTATCTCGAATTTTAGACCAGTCTCCTGCAAACATCCTGTTTTTAATTTGTTAAAAAAAAACTCCCGTAATTTCACCCCCCCCCCCCACCCCTATGGTACAGCCTGTACACTAAACACCCCCGTGTTGCCAACTTTTTTTTAATTTTTTTATTTTTTACCAGAAATGACAAAAAAAAAAATATCCCTCAGCTTTTATTTACATTTCAACAAAAAAATTAAGTCAAAATATGCCAGGGGTATGAATACTTTTGATGAATACTTTTGTCATTATAAACAAATATTTCTCAGGTTTTATTTACATTTGAACAAAAAGTTTATGTCAAAATATGAAAGGGTAATTAATATTTTTGGAATTGATTGATTGATTGATTGATTGATTGATTGATTGATTGATTGATTGATTCATTCATTGATTCATTGATTCATTCATATGTTTGAGTAGAGTGTAATTTTTAAACATTTTAAATGCTGTCATTAAGAGCTTATTTGAATAAAATATAAACAAATATGAAAACAAATAATGATAACACATAATAATAATAAAATAAATATTATAAACAAATATTCCTCGGCTTTTATTTGTATTGGAACAAAAACTTTAAGTCAGAACTTGCCAGAAGTATTAATTTTTTAGGGATTTATTAATTTATTTAGTTATTTATTTATTTGTATGTTTTATTTATTTATTTATGCATTTATTTATGCATTTATTTGTTAATGTTTGAGTAAAGCATAATTTTATACAATTTATTATTAATTTCATAAAATAATAATTTATCAAAATAACAAAAAGAAATAATAATTTTAGAAACCACAATACCCATACATTTTTTGGAATCATAAAATTTCATAAGATTTCTGAAAAAAAAAATAAAATTGTGGAGCAATCCTCATTTTCAACCATAACTAATAAAATCATTGTTCTGGGGAGGAAAAAAAAAATTTTCTGCAAAAAAATAAATACTGAAAAAATTCAAGTGGAAATATATGTAATATATGACAATATATGTAATATATTTTTCTTCATTTTCCCATAACTGTGTTTATGTAGATTATAATTTTTTATTTTAATAAAATAAAAACACTTAAATAAAAAATAAAATAATGTACAGACGTAAAAAACACAAATCAACTAAAATGAAAACAAAATATAAAACCCAAAAGTGCTTATGCTCAGTGTTTCTCAGGCATGAGTCTAAGTTTTTAAGGTGTTGTTTCGCCCTCTAGTGGCAGGCAACAACATTACCTTCTGTTTTTGTATTTTCTTCTGTTCGGCCATGAGTGTGACGAGATTCTCTCTGGCAATGGCCACTTCTTGTGTCTCAGTACTGTCAGGCAACGATTCTGGAGAGTCAGAGTCTTTCTCGCTTTCATCCTTATTAAAACTCTCCTTCCTCCTCTCTCCTTGCCATTTCTTCCTTCTCCTGAAGCGTTCCTGCTCCCAGCTAAACACAAACAGAGAATATTATCATTACAAAACAACAAACCAACCAATTATCTACAACAAAAACACAACAATAAGATAAATAAATCATAAAAAATAAATGCTAAAACAATTGAAGTGTACAAAACATCAGTGTTTAAATACTTTCTGATCATCTGTAATGCTTCAGTGTTAATTGAGTGTGTGTGTTTGTACTCACTCTGCGATTGTCAGCAGGTGTTTGGATGTGTCGATCTGGATCTCCATGTTGCTGTTGTCCAGCTCCATAAGACGCTTCCTGATGTCCATCTGCTGTCTGAAGGCATCGATCAGCTGTTCCCGCAGTTGGTCCATCTCAGCCCGGCTTTGCTGAGAGGAGTGAGCCTGTACCTCCGCTACAGCCAACAGAGGAAAACACATCTGATTGAGACTACTCGTTGAGACATTAAACACAAAAAGAAATGCATAAACTAGCATCTACACAAACAGAAAGTCCTCTAAAAATAATGTAATAGGATAAAACTGAATAGATTTAGATTTCTTATTAGAAAACAATCTACTTAAGCAGAAAAGTGATTTATTAGCAGATAATAAAATATAACAGAAAGAAGAGGGTTAAATAAAGTAAGAATGGAAATATAGGCAGCACGGTGGCTCAGTGATTAGCACTGTCGCCTCACAGCAAGAAGGTTGCTGGTTAGAGGCTGGGCCAGTTGGCATTTCTGTCTGGAGTTTGCATGTTCTTCCTGTGCTGGCGTGGGCAACCTCTCATAAATAGAGACTAAGCTGAATGAGTGAAGAACGTAATCTATTAGAAAATGTATAGTTATTTTATTACAATATAATAAATCAGAATACAATCCCTCTTGACATTTAACAAACTGGAAAAAAATCTATTCTTGACCGAAAAAAGCTTATCAGACAGAAAATAATCTAATCAAACTGAAAATAGTTCATTAGAAGTTAATACAATAGAATGGAATGAAAAGGGTCAATTAAAATACGAACAGAATCTATTATTAAGCGAAAATATATTTAATCTAATAGAATAAATCACAATACAATCAATCAGGACATATAATAAACTGTAAAACAATATATTCTAGAACTAATAAGCTTATTAAACAGAAAAAAATCGAATCAAAGTGAAAGTAATCTATTTAAATAAAATAGATTTCTGTAGAATCAATGAGAAAATTAAATCGAACAGATAATGTTATAAAACAGAAAATTGTATCATAAAAAACATAAATCAAAAACATATTAAAAATTCTAATAAAAATAGAGCAGAATAAAATAAGGAAATACGAAGTAATTAGGAAAATAGAGTAATATTCATGTAAATAGTATGTTTCCTTGTAAAATCAGGTTGGAAATATCCCAGAAGTGAATACAGTTCTCAAAAAGAGCAGAATCAAACAGAAAAATATCTAAAATAGAATAGAATAGAATAGAATAGAATACATTATTAATAAATAAACTAATAAATAAACTAATCAGAGAGAAATGTATTAAAACTATTCTCAAAAGAGCAGAATCAAACTTAAAATCAGCTACTAGAGTAAAATAAATAACAAAATAATCAAATCAAAAAGAAATATACCATTAGAGGAGAAAACTATTGCCAAAAACAGCAGAATCAAACAAGAAATATATTCACAATAGAACAAAATAAAAAAAATATCTAATTTAATAGAAAACTTTCATTACAAGTTGATATAATTCTTAAAAAGAGAACAATCAAACTAAAAATAATCTATAAGAACAGAATAAGTAGAATATAGTAGAACAAATTAGAAAATAAACTAATCAAACAGAAATGTACCAACAGAAGAGAAAACTATTCTAAAAAGAACAGAATCAAACCCAAAATCATCCGCTAGAGTACAATAAATAACAAAATAATCAAATCAAAAAGAAGTATACCATTAGAGGGGAAAACTATTCCAAAAAACAGCAGAATCAAACAAGAAATATATTCAAAAAAGAATAGAATAGAATTGAATAGAATAGAAAAGAAAAGAATAAACTAGAATCAAATGAGAAAATGATCTAATGTAATAGAAAAAAATCACTACAATTTAATATAATTCTCAAAAAGAGAACAATCCAACTAATATCATCTATTAGAATAGAATAGAATAGAATAGAATAGAATAGAATAGAATAGAACAGAATTCAGTGGAAAACATAATTTGGGTTGTTACAGACAGTATGTTACCTTGCACATGGCGGATGTCTGTTCTGTCTGGGTTGATTTGTCTGCTGGCCTGGTCTGCAATCTTCTTCTTCAGTCTCTGAATCTCACTGCGCAGGTCAGAGATGATGCTGGTGTACTGGGCGATGTGATAGGACACATTCAACAGGTTTCTTTTCACCTGCAAACATACAAGAGTAACAAGTGCAAAATATAACAGCTCTGTTACATATTGTATACATAAAATTGTACATATTCACATTCACAAGTTTATGGTAACTACACATAAAATAATACCAATAATAATAAAAGTTTGATTTATTTATATGGATAAATGTTTTGATCAAGGATGCTTGGACAGTAAAGACATTTGTGCTGCTTAATATCCGTATGGAAATTGTGATTATTTTTCTTTTGTGAATTATTTCATTTAAAAAAACAACAAAAATGTTTCTTTGAAATAAAAATGTCAGTCACAGTAACTTCCAATGAATTTCCTAGATCCTTGCTAAATAAAACTATTGTTAACACTTTAAAATAATGGTCCATTAGTTGTATTTACTAACATGAACAAACAATTAGTAATACGTGTATTATGGTATTCATTCCTCTTTGTTAACATTAGTTAATGTTATTTAAATTAAACAGCATTAGTTTGTTAACTCATGGTTCATTAACTAATGTTAACAAGCGCAACTTTAGATTTTAACAATGCATTAGTTAATGTTAATCTATGATTAATAAAAGCCAAGATTATTCATACTTGGTTAATAATAGTAAATACATTAACCAGCATTAATCAATGGACCATTATTCTAAAGTGTTACCAAACTATTTTATTATTTACAAAAAAAATAAAAATAAATAAAACAAAAAAAGCTGACCCAATATGTTGATCAGTAGTTTAATTAATTTTATTTTATCATACTATTTTATTTTATCATGTGTTCAATTAACTAACTAACAAACTAACTAACTAACTAACTAACCCGTGTGCGGATGCTTTTGGCACGGTCGGCATAGGTCAGGGTGTTTCGTGAATCCTCAAAGGCCAGAGACGCAGGGCTGATGTGTGCAATCATCACCGTCCGACTGTTTCCTCCTAGAGAGTCCTGAAGACATGATAAGATACTCTAATAAGAAAACTGCAAGCCAATGATCAGTGTACCTCACGTTTATCTGGGTTGATGAAGATTCTTATCATTGTACCTTGAGCAATCGTGTCAGCTTGCTGTCTCTGTAGTTTACATACTTGTTGCCATTCTTTTCGCTCAAAGCGTTGATACAGTTCCCCAGGGCGAGCAGAGAACGGTTGATATGAGCGCCCTCTTTTAACCTCTGACCCCTGTTCTGTGTCTGAAAGTAAAAAGAGTGGTTATATTATGATGGGTAATATACTGTAAGCGGCACTGCTTCATGAAGCTTTGAAACTTTTATGAATCGTTTGTTTTGAATCAGTGGTTCAGAGCAGGTATTAACGTTCGCATGAACACAGGGTTTGTTACTTTGTTAATTTGTATCATTACTGTTTCAAAATGTTTAGAAAAGTTATCTAAATATATATTTAACAAAACTGCTTTTATTGTAACATATACAGGTAAAGTATATTAGATTTTATTTACTTTTTTAAATATTTTGCAAATTATGTTTAACAGGGCAAGGAAATTTTCACAGTATGTCTGAAAATATTTTTTCTTCTGGAGAAAATCTTATTTGTTTATTTCGGCTAGAATAAAAGCAATTTTTCTTAAAGAAAAAATAATAAGGTCAATATTATTAGCCCCTTTAAGCTAATTTCTTTCCCGACTGTCTACAGAACAAACCATCATTGTACAATAACTTGCCTAATTACCCTAACCTGCCTAGTTAAGCTAATTAACCTAGTTAAGCCTTTAAATGTCACTTTAAGCTGTACAGAAGTGTCTAGAAAATTATCTAGTCAAATATTATTTACTGTCATCAAGGCACAGATAAAATAAATCAGTTATTAGAACTAAGTTATTAAAAATATTATGATTAGAAATGTGTTTAAAAAAACCTCTCTTTTAAACAGAAATAAGGGACAAAATAAACAAGGGGGGGGGGGCTATTAATTATGACTTCAACTGTACATAATAAAGATACTTTCTACAATACACA